GAGATCACATTGTTTCATGTTGGCGGCAATGAATTTGGTCTTTTATGGGTTGATGCTTGTAACGTGGGAAAAGGCAGGGATGGCTATATGTGTTGCAGGTTTACTTTTGACTATAAAAGGGCACTTGCTGGTCTGAAATGTTGTTCTCTGCTTTGGTACAGCAGATGTATTGCTCCAAGGATGCCAACAAGGCCTGTTCTTGTTGTGTGAGTGTGTTCCACTCATCTTCTATTTATAACTCTCTCTTTCTGTTTTTGTTGTTGGGGTTCCTTTATTTGGTTCATTTTGTTTTTAACTTGTCTCTCTTTTTTGCGTGTGTAGGGATGTACCTGACCACTCCACAAAGGGAGGGCACTACCATGAGGGCCATTATGTTTCCACGTAAGTCTCATCTGCTTAGCTATTCTCTTTACAAGTTGTGTCTTTGTGTTTGCAATTGATTGGCATGGCTCACATGTGTCCAGTTTGCAAATATGCTCCTTATTTAGCTGATAATCTCTTTTTTGCCCAATCTGTTTGTCTCACTGCTGAGCCCAGTAGGAATTTTCCTGCAATCTTAGCATCTAGCCAGTAATAGAATGACGGGTGGATAAAGTGGTATTATAAAGTTGATTTGTTTGTTTTTTTTTTTTTTGGTTTTTTTTTTCAATGTTGTGGGAGCAGGCCAAAGCAAGTCCTAGAAAGAAGAGACGGAGCAGGGACATCAGAAAGGGGAGCACGGTTTGTTAAAACTCTCTTCAAATCTGCAATGATGTGATTGTTGATGAATGTTCTTATTCATTGTGAAGTGATTGGTTTTCGTTGATTTTCCTTCGTTTGTTTTGTTTTTTTTAAATATTTTATTCGGAGTAGGTCAAAGCAATTGTTGGGAAAACAAGAAAGAGCAGAGCTGGAACCTTAGAGTTTTTTTACTCCTTCAAAATGTGCGACAATGTGAATCTTGATGAATGGTTCTTATTATCCATTGGAGGGAGGAGCTTTTGTGTGCTTGTTTTTCTTTCAAATAAGCGGTGTTCCTCGTTTTGAGCTTCCATTCCGCCTTTTGTGTGGCTTCTTCTTCTGTCTATAAAAGTAGAAATGCGCGGGTAGAAAAGCACAGGTGAAGATGGGATGATGATGGGCGGGATGTGCTTTGTGTTTTTGGACATACAAAATGAAGCTGGTGTTTCTCAACTCCCTTTCTTTTATAATGCTCCTTTTTTGCTTTTGTGTGCAAACAGTCCAAATTGTGATTTGAATGATGTTTTATGTTTCAGAAATGTGTAAATTTATGCATCATATTATTGTGCTTGGACACAAATGTGTCAAATTGCTAAATGTTGCGTGAATTATTTAAAAATGTTGTGCTTGGTCATGGCTGGTGGACATTTGCAGAATGTGTCGTCATTCTTTTGCCGTTTTGGTCGAGTTTACTCACACGACTTTTTTAATTACCGATTTACCCCCGTGGTGGATAGCAAATCGTCATTGTAATAATTTTCTGTTTCAAAACAATTTTTTTCACTTCTTTTATATACTCAGCCGCAAATAATCAATCAAAAAACCAAACTTAAACTTGT